GAGCGGTCAAACGTGACGAAGAGACGATTCCGCCCCAATGCGCGGGTTGTGGGTTCAACGCCCACTCAAGAATTGATTTCTCGAGGGTTTTTGTTCGGCGCGCGGGCTGAGGCGCGGGCCCACCCACTCGCGATAGGAAGGTCATCCCGTTGTTGACTCGGCTTGATCGGCTCCGCTCCGCCGGGATGGCCCCGTAACTAAAGATAACCCTCGCGCCCTGCGCCGCCCTGCCCTCGCCGTCAATGGCAACGGGGCCCGAACGGCCGAACGGGCTGAAAGCGGCGGTGGGCGAGCACGGCGTGCACGAGGAGAACCTGCCGGTCGCCTGCCGGGCTGCCGCCACCGCGCTGGCCACACAGTCGATCTGTGAGTGAGCGGACTGACGGGGTCCGACCAACCGCCAATCGAGGGGCCCGGCGGGCTGGTCGGACCGAGGCATGCCTGGCACGCCGGCCGGTTGAACCGAAATGAACGGTGCGGCCCCGACCTGCCCTAAGCACGGCGTGGCGTGGCGTGGCGCGGCGTGGCCATGCTGGACACTGTTCGGCAGGGCACGCTGACACCGCGCCACGCCAGGCACGGCAGCCACGGCGCAGCGGGGAGGGGCCGAACCACGCTGCGTGAGCCAAGCCAAGCCGGCGCGCCCGGTCGATGCCGACCCCTCTCTCTCCCTCCCCCCCCCTCTCTCTCTCTCTCTCTCTCTCTCTCTCTCTCTCTCTCTCTCTCTCCGGATTTCACACCCTTCGCCCGGCCCGTCCACATGCCATCTGTTCCAACCTAGTTTCCTTGGCGGGTGCACCTGCACGGTGATGCGTCGCTGCGACCAGACGGCCCCGAGCCACGCGGCCTGCCGCCTGGTTCCCCACAGACCGTCTCTCTCGCTCTCCGTCTCACATACGGGCGCGCGAGAGAGAGCGAGAGAGACGAATCACTGCTCGGAATCAGGCTGCTGCTGGAGTCCTGACAGAAATAACCCCCGCGGCAAAAGGAAAAGCCGTTTCTTTTTTACTCGCCGAAACTGCCATATCCCGCACGCCAGAGTGGAGCTGCGACGGCGGCGGCATCACGGGGAAGGTAACGGGAGTCGTGAAAACACACTCTGCGCCCTATGCTCTTTCCGGCAGCACATTTTTGCTCTCTTTGAGGAAATCGTTTTTCCAGATATTTTCCTCTTTTTGCGATCGGGTGCACGACTGGAGGTTTATATTCGGAGGCGTGGCCGGCGTAGTGGTCCTTTCAAATAACAAAGTCGAATCGACGACAACACCAAGCAAGTTTTCATTCTTTTCCCTGGGAATCACTGGGGGATACGGCACTATTAATTTAAAAAAAAAATTTAGACGAGTCATATTTTTTGACAGTGTGTACCCCTGTGAGGCAGACCGAGTCGGCGGTCTGCAGTCACACAGGGCCCGGGCGGCGGCAGCGCGGCAGCAGCATAGCTCGGGACGAAGGTCGGATGTGACTAACCTGAGTGCATTAATTAATTAATTTGGCCCACGCGGCCGAGGGGCCGTGGCCGGGCGGCCGGGCCCAGGCTAGGTCACACCCACTATGACCCGCCGCGTCGCCGCGTCATCCCTCCGGAACCAAGACCCGAGTGTAGGCGACGCGAGTGCCCTGCCTGAGCCACCCGATTCTCTCTCGGCCGAGCTGGCGGGCTTTTAAAATGGAGGGTCGAGCGACGAGCTGAAAACGGATTTTTTGCAACAGAAAAATCCATCCGTTGGCTTGTTCTTTTCTGTTCCGTCATGACAGTGTGTCTGCTGCCGTTCGGATCATCTCTCAGCAGCGGCGCGCAGCTTTGACGCTAATCAGTGCCAGCCAGCCAATTAGAGATCAAGGCCCCCCGCCCCATCTTTCTCTCCCCCTCGCCCGATCCGGCCCCAAACAGAGACAGAGACAGGTCTGTTGCTCAGGCCTCACTGGCGCAGTAATTAACGACGTGGAGCCAATCAGAGGCCCGCATTCCAGGGTTCCAGGGTCCCAGCGTTCCAGGGTTTCAGTCCACCGCACGACAGGCATACAATGTCGGACGCAGGTGCTCGTCCCAGGCTGTGGGTGTGGGTTCGATCCCCGGCGGCGGCAGCGTTTTCCGCGCGTGGGACCCTGTGTCACAGTGCCTCTTGTCCGTCCCCGGGCGTGGGTTCGAGCCTCGGCGCCGGCGGCAACATTTTTTTCGTCAGTGGAACACGGAAACGGCTCCGCGGCTGCGGTGTGTTTACAGCGCTCCCGAGTGCCCTTCCCAGCTTTCAGCCCGAGGCCCCGGGCGTGGGTTCAAGCCCCGGCGGCGGCGCGCGCTTTTTCCGCGTGTAGTGCCCGCAGGTACCGACGAGGAAGGCCCCACATGTTTACAGCGCCCCGCAGTGGCACTGAAGGGATCACGAAGGACCCGAGGGCCCAGGGGGCGAATAGTACGCGCGCCGAGTCGAGTAGTTAAATCGGAAGCCTCCCCGGCCGGTGGAGTGCCTCTTGCCGTTGCCATGGCGACCAGGATTCCCGGTCCAGGCGGCCAATCAGGCCCGAGGAAGACCGAAGAGGGGCAGCCGAGAAACCGCACTGGGTCGGCCGCCGACTTACAGTCGACCAGTCCCATCACTGTCTCTCTCGAACACCCCGTGTGAGAGAGAGAAAGAGACAGAGCCGACGTGCGGAACTGACGTGCCTTCCCATCGAACACCGAGTCAAACTTTCCCGAACTGCCTGTCGCTACTTTTCCAGTGGCCCAGCATGGCAGCGGCACTCGCGATTCGCACGCTCAGTTCAAAATTCAATCTACCGGAGCCGTCAATGAATGGAGCGCTCTCTCTCTCTCTCTCTCTCAGTCGCTCGGCTGGTAATGACTCGGACCTCTCTCTCGCACGCTAATCCCCGAGGCGTGAAGCGGGCCGGATGCAAACGAGCCGCGCCGCCGGTCAACACAGCGAGGCAGCGAGGCACACGGCAAGGCAACACGGCGGGGCGGTGAAAGCAAAATGAAATGGTGTGGCGGCGGCGCCGCGGCGCGCCACGCCGTTGGTGGGCGAGAGGGCATTTTGAAGGGAATCAAAGTTTGACGAGGGTTCTGGGCCGCCGCGCGCGGACCGCAGGCTGACGGCAAGGGGGCGCCGCGGAAAGGAGGAAGGTTCGAGGCGTCGGGGCGCGACAAACACCACTGCACTGCAAGGCTCCATGTTGAGGTGTTGTTTGATTATCGGAAACTCGAAAAGCCCTCTCCCCCTCCCCTTTTCTCATTTTCTCCCCTTTTCAAAGCAGCGCGCCGCGCAGGTGCCACTTCCTGTCGCCCGCCACCCGTCTTTTTTTTTTCAGAAAGGCGCGAAACAAAACACCGAAAGTAAGGACTTTAAAAAAATGCCGAAATAATAGAAAATAATTCGTCTCGCTCGCGCTATTATTCTGCAGCTGCGCAGAGGAGGAAGCGGAAGGGGGGGGGGCATGGCGTGGTGCGAAGTGGATCAAAATTGGGACACGTGAGTGGTTTTAATCAGCCCGGCCCTCTGAATCAGCCCAGCAGCAACGGCGCCCTCTCTCTCACACCCTCACGGGCGCTCCGCGAGTGCGAGAGAGACGCGAAAAGCCGAATCGCCGGGTTTTCCGGCTGCTCTATGCACTGTCGCTGTGCACGTTTTGGATTCGCTGCCCCACATAGCCGCCGGCGCAGCAGACCGGTTCCACACCGCGCTGTCTCTCTCGCACTCCTGCGGGGCTCCCCACGAGAGCGAGGGAGACAGAGCGACGAGCGGCGCTCCATCCGATGACGCCGATCGCTTTGTCTAATTGGCGCCACTCCCGCTGTTTCATTCGCCTCTCTGTCCGTCTCTCTCGCTCTCTCTCGCTCTCTCTCTCTCTCTCACTGTGCCAGGGGCCGCCAGCGGGGGCGAAGGGTGAGCTTGCCATTAGTCCGATTCCGCACAGCCGCTGTCTCTCTCGGACGGCCCACGGAGCGCTCCATGCCGTGAGTGCGAGAGAGCCAGGGCGATGAAAGGCCTCTTTGGCAGCGCGAGGAGCGGGCCAGGGATGGCAGTCGGCGGGCACGTGAGGGAACCCCGCGCGGCGTGGGCCGTGGGCGCCGTGGCCGTGGGCGTGGCGGTGCAGTGGTCCGCGCCGGACGCCTGCGGGCGGCAGCGCGCACAACAGCTGCGTGGTGCCGGCTGCCTACGCCGAGTTCCGCGGGCGCTCCGCGACGCCTCCGCGCCCGGGGACACCTGTCTTTCTCTCACACATCGCCCACAGCACCCTCTGACTCACTCGCCGGTGCGCAAGTGAAAGACGCCGTCAGAACCATGTCAGAACCATTTTGACGTTGGAGTGGACTCGCCCCGGGTGTTCGGCGTGCCGTTGTCGCCACACTGGAGGCCGAGCGGCTGGCGTCCAATCCGAGGCCGCCACTCCCGCCCAAGAGCCCCACTAAAAGAAGGCCATCCGGAGCGACGACCTCCTCGGCCATCCCGACGGCAGTGGGCGGCCACCGAGCGGCCACCCCTCCAGCTCTCTCATAGCGCGCGCCAAATGAAAACGAACTGCCGTGTCCGGGACGGCGGGGACGCTGCGTGATGTCGTGATGTCGGCGTGTCCCGCCCCGCCGCCTCGCCGCGGGGGCTGCGGGGGCCGCGGGGGGCGCGCCTCGCCGAGCGCCCTCGCTGTCTCGCCGCGGGGGCAGCGCTAGCCGCGCCGGCGACAAGAGCGAGGAGGAAAGAACAAATAACACACGAGGCTGGCTGGAGGCGGCAGCGCCCCAGCAGCGCGCCAAGTTTGAAAGGGCATGTTGACCCGGCGAGGCGTATCGACGCGGAGGGCCTGTGCTTGTTGCCATATCCCCCCTTGTGTGTGAGTGTGTGTGTGTGTGCGTCTGTTTGCGCACCACGACGCCGCGTTCAGAGCGCCACGCCTGGGAGGCTGGCGGCAATTACAGTTTACAAGCGAAGCCGCCGCGGCCGCTCCCGACGAGAGCAGTGCGGAGTGTGCGCTGCCGCCACTGACACTGTCGCCTTGTTGTGCAGATGAAGCTGAACCTGGCGGGGCTGGGCCAGGGCCTGGGCGGCCTGCAGCAGGTGGACCGCGCGCAGCTGCGGCGCGACGGGCTCACGCTCTTCGGCAAGCTCATCCGGACCAAGAACGTGGAGGGGCTGCAGGGCGAGGCGGAGCCGCTGGGCGCCATCCAGGACGAGAAGGCCAAGCTCAAGGTGAGTAGCAGACGACATCGACGTCAAAACGACCACCACTCAGTCGGACTACTTCAGTAATTTAATAGCCAATGCCAGGTTGAAATCTTTGACAGCACAAAATTTAATCCAGTCCGGGGATTCGAACCCGGCACCTCGTGCTCGGCGCGCGGTCACGCTCGCCACTCGGCTGCGAGGCAATTTCTCCACGCGCGGCATCTGCATAATGCACTCGATGGGCCGCATGCTCCGCTCCGCCAGTCAGAGCACGCGCGGCCAGCCAGCTAGGTCACGCGTGGCAGTGGCGTGGCGGGCCTGCCGGGAAACAAGGCGCGCAAACACGGGCGTGAGGGAGCGAGAGAGCGCGCACGCGGCTCCCATGCCAATCGAATCGCAATGTGAGTGTGCCAGCGCGCCAGCACCGCGATCCACTCCGGCCGCCGCAATTGCAATGCGAATGTGTTGCCACAATCTACGCTGGAGAATCTCCAATTCCGATCGCAATGGCTCTCTATTTCTGACCGCGGCCTCCCGCTCCGCTTCCCGGAAAAACTGCCATCTGGAAAGCTCTGGCGGCGAGACGGTGTCGTGGGGGCCAGCGAGGCCGTCGGCCCGGCATCCCTTTGTCGCCCCACCCCCTTCCCTCCAGCGCGGCCCCGGCCCGCTCTGGATTTCCATTGTCGCTGCCGCCAGCGCAGCGCGTCGTCGCGCCCTCCAGCAACAGTTTCCAGAGAGGCTCCCGGAAAACTCCAGGATAAGTTCCAGACTCCATCAGCCGGCCTCTCCAGGACCGTCTGGCTAAACTGGGTTCCAGGTTCCAGCGGACGACGAGGGGAGCCATCAGAGTCTCTTACGAGCTCCGACTACTCCCGTCTGACTCCAGGAGCCCCCTCCCCTACGGGTTTGACTTGGGCACACGTCAACGGAACAGCACACACGTCCCTGCCCCGGCCATGCGGCCCTGCCTCGCCCTGCCTCGGCAGTCGAGCGATTCGCTCCGTCTCTCTCGCACTCGCGGAGTGTGCCGTAGGGGTGCGAGAGAGACAGCGACAGCGGAAGGCGAATGGAAACGGACTAATCAGAGCCCCGATCACGTTTCGCTCCGACGCCGCGCCGCGGGCAAAACTTGGCTGTATTTCCCTTTACCTTTTCCCAGCCTTTCCTCACATGGCCGACATGGCCGGGTGTGTTGTTCTCGTCGCTCGCGTCGCTGGAGGCGGGGCCATGCCACGCCACGCCGCGCCCCAGAGGGACAAGCAGGGCAGCATACACAAAGTCCCCGACTGGGTGGAAACTTTCCCCTGCGCTTTACAAGGCAACGTCGTTTCCCCTGCTTTCCAAAAGGTACCCCCTTTCAACGCAAATGCGAATTTCAGCACGCTCCACGTCAGCGGGCTTCGCCGTGCGAATTTCAGGCGGGACGGTAAATTTTGATGACGTCGAACATTATTTAGAGACGCTGTAAAATTCTTAGCAAACATACCGGTGAAACTTTCCCCGCCCCGCGTCAGGCACTCCCGGCAAAACAATGTCGAGATCTCGAACTCGAACAACGGCCGCTCCTTGGCACCCTCTCACTCACAGCAGCAGCCCGATTCCGGAAGTGCCTTCATCGCGCTGTCTCTCTCGCACCCGCGGGGCGTGGCGCGTCGGTGCGAGAGAGACAGCGCGACGAAAAGCGCGGTTGGGCCTGCAGCGCTATCACTGCGTGATTCATCGCAACGGGAAAGGGAGGGGGAGGGGGAGGCGAAGGGAGCGGCAGGTGTGGCCGGCCGGTCTATTGTTTCACGGCAGCGCCGCCCTGGGAGAGAAATGTGCCCATTACTGCCATCGAGAGGGGCAGCGGGGAGAGGGGCGGGGCAGCGCGGGGCAGGGAGGCAGGCCAGCGGGCCGGACAGCCCCGCAGGCCCGACGGACATGTCCACTCAGGCCGACCCCGCCGCCTGACCGCACACCAGGTCAGCGCGCGCGCGGAGGGGTGGGGGAAGAGGGGGCGGGCTGTACTTACTTAGCCAAAGGGTAGCGGGCGGGATGCATCTCTGGCGTGGCATCAGTAACCCCGTCGCCCGTCGCCCGGAGGCGAGGGTGCGCCGCCAATGCCGCCAAAGAGGCACCCGAGCGCCTGTGGGGTAGGCTGTGCCGTCGGACCCGGGCGTTGGGCGGCACTGCCTACGCCGCAGGCGCCGAGCCCCTGCGAACCACAGGATAGGCCGTCCCGCCGAACACACGTGTTCAACAGCACAGCCTACCCTCCAGGCTGTGTGGTTGAAACCTATTTCTTCCTCACTATCTTCCTAGCTGTCCGCGGAGCAACAGTTTCTTATTTTGTTGTTCTTTTTTTTTTCGTCAGTGAATCCGAACGACGCTATGATCGACAGCTGTTTGGTTTGGACGACACCGACATCGCATGATCGCGTGGGGGAGTTTCACTTACTCGGGTGGCGACACTACTGGCACGCGGCGTGATCGGCTTTGTGTTGTGTTGGCGCGCCTCTGCGTGACTCGCGGCGCGACACACACACACACACACAGTGACGCGGTGCTGTCGATGCAGCGCTCGTCTTGAATGGGCGCGCCACGGCGCCACAGACCGCAGCGTGACCGCCGTGTTCGTGCAGCCCCTCATACAGTGCAGGGCGCGGACTGGGCGCGGGAATAATTGATGCTCCCCGCCACCCGGATTGAGCGTTCCGGGTGAATCTTTGAGAAGGGTCAAGAGCGCAGCGCGGCGCCGGCCGAGCGCCTATTTTTACGGGTCGCTTCACTCTTCTCGCGCTCTAGTTGCGGCGCGCGGGGTGGGGCCGGCGGGGCGCTGCACGCGGTGGGATGCGAGGTAGAGGCCGGGCAGCGCCGGGCAGGCCTCCAAGGCCGTGGCAGGGTAGGCCTTTCACCACAGAAATAGCCTGGCCGCCTGTCCAACAGCTCCGCCCTCCTCGCCCCGGGCAGGGCCGGGCAGGGCCCCGCAGGGGGCTGGCCCGGCCCCCCGGGGCCGCCGGCCGCCACATCATCTTCTCCAGCATGCAGGCGGTGGCGGTCCCGGCGGCTGCAGCGCTGATGAGGCACTGAGGGTCCAGGCCTGGCGAGGCCTGGCGAGGCAGGCCGCGGGGCGTCCGTGCGGAACGGCGGCAGCGGGCGGAGCATTGTGCTGCCAGCGCCACAGCACGGCCTGGCACGGCCACGGCCTCACAGTCGGCCAGCCGCACCGCCGAAATGAAGTGCCGGGCGCGGCGGCGCGGCGCCGGCCCCTGGCAGCTCCAGCCGCTCCAGGCACTGGCTCCGGGTTTCAATCCGACCATGGCACGCCACCATGCCCGCGCGCTGCTCCTGCTTCTCCGGACCAGTGGCCAAGCCTAATTGGCGCGCTGCCCGGAACAGCGCTCTCTGCTCTCCGGAGAGTCGGGGCCCTGCCCTGGGGTCCGGCCCACCCCGCCCCGCCCACGCCACTGCGAGGCCCCCGGAGCCTTCCGGACCGTTTTCCCGGCCTGTTGACGTTGACCGCGCCGCGCAGTCGTTGTTTGCCTTGCCGCCTTGCCGCCTGTTGGCCTGTTTGCGGCGCGGCGGGGGTTTTCGCGGTGCCGTGGCACTCGGTGCTACGCTGACCTCCGCCGTCCGCAACGCGGCGACGCCACCTGTCGGCGCGACGGCGCCCCGAAGTCGCCCCGACACCGGTGCTAACTCGTTTAGGGCAGACCGGCGTCAAGAGCAGTGCACCTGCAGGCTTATTCCGTTGCTCTGTCTCTCTCGCACCCACGGGCCGTCCAGCTGCGGTGCGAGAGAGACAGAGCGCCGGAGCACCGCCGTGGGGCGTTGTACGACGCGCCCTCCGTGGACTAACTAGCGCGGCGCCCCGAGTCGCAAGTTTTCGCGCCGTCGACGTAATGCGCGCCAAGTTGCTGCGCAAAACGGCTGCATTATTCATGGGCCGTGCATCCGCGGCGTATGGCGGACGGGGCGGGGCGGGGCGGGGCGTGCGTCGTTGGCCGCAGATGTTGTCCGCCGGACGCTTTATGGATTTTCAATACAGCCACCACTCCGTGACCCTCGGCGGCCTCGCCCGCCCGGACAGCCACGTCGACGAGGACGTCGAGAGCAAGCAGCACTCAGCAGACCTCTCCTCCCGTTGTTGCAGAAATGCCTGACGACGCTGGACTTGACCTCGCTGGGCGTGGGGTCGTGCGTGGGCACCGGCATGTACCTGGTGGCCGGCATGGTGGCGAGGAAGATCGCCGGCCCCGGCGTCGTCATCAGCTTCGTCATCGCGGCCGTCGCCTCCATCTTCTCCGGTGAGTGGGCCTTCCGTCGCTCTGTTGTTGTTCGCGAAGAAAAGCAATCGAGTCAGAGCCACAAATAAACGACGAGGAATCATTTTGGAGAGGGCCGCGACTCCGGCGGCGGCCCACGCTCGCTCGGCCGCCGGGCCGCCCAACCACCAACCGCTCTTGTGATCGCAGTAATCAATCCGCAGTCACATCCCCCGCCCCGCCCCGCCCCGCCCCGCCCCGCCCCCGTCGGGAACGTTTTGCCGCGACTCTGGCGTCCGGAACCGAAATGGCCTGGCGCGCTGGCGGGGGCGGCTCTGGCTCAGCTCTCCAACTGTCGAGTGCCTTATTTTCCCATTCCGCCAGTGGCGCCGCCGACGTGGACCCCGACGCCATGGCAGACTGATTCCGAGGAGTCGTTCGGACGCTCTGCCTCGAACGTACTCATGGGGCGTTCCGTAGGGGCGCGAAAGTTCAGAACCCAGTCGAATCCAGGACGACGCGTGGTTAGGCTAGGAGCCGGGCCGGGCGGAGGTAGATTGCGACACTCGACGCCGCTATCTGCGCGCCGCACCGCAGCCCCTTGGTCGCCGCCGAGGCCGCCGCGTCGCCGCGTCGCCGCCAAGCTGTTGGACCGTGTGATTGCCTGGCTGCGCCGGGCCTGGGCCGGGCGGCGCGCAAGAGCGGAGGACAGGAAAAATGGATTAGAAAAGCGAGTGAGACGGCGGTGCGCGGGGAATTTAAAATTGGCGCGCGGGGTCGTTCCGGCTGCTCCACGGCCCGCGGCGCGTCGAAATGCGTCCGGCGGGACGTCTTGCTGCACGTGACAGTGCAGTGGCGCGAGAAAAAAAAGCCGCTTCCGCGGGGAGTCGAACCCGGTCGTCACGATCGGCCCCCTGAAAGGCGGCCTAATGCTGATGGCTCTGCCCGCTCTGCCCACAGGTGCGTGCTACGCAGAGTTCGGCGTGCGCGTGCCGCACACCACCGGCAGCGCCTACATGTACTCGTACGTGACGGTGGGCGAGCTGCTGGCCTTCGTCATCGGCTGGAACATGGTGCTGGAGTACCTGATCGGCACCTCGGCGTGCGCGTGCGCGCTGTCCGCGTGCCTGGACGCGCTCGCCAACGGCGCCATCTCCAACTCGCTGCGCAACTCAGTGGGCAACATCATCGGCACGGGTCAGTCGCCAGAGAAAATACTGCGACGCGGGTTCGAACCCGCGCCCACGGTTCCAAAACCGACGAGTTTATTTTTCCTCGTGCTTGCAGGTCAACCGCCTGACGTGGTGGCGTTCGTCATCACGCTGCTCATGACGCTGCTCATGGCGGCCGGCGTCAAGAAGTCCCTCGTCTTCAACAACGTGCTCAACGCCGTCAACCTGGCCGTCTGGGTGTTCGTCATGACGGCCGGCCTGTTCTACGTCGACTCCCGGAACTGGTCGGACCACAAGGGCTTCCTGCCGTACGGCTGGTCAGGGGTGAGTCGGAGTCAGGGCACTGCAGCGAGTCGCGGAGGAGAGAGGACTTTCGGGGCTGACGCGGTCCGCGCTTTATTAGACTCATCGCTCTATCTCTATCGCATTTGAAGGCTTCATATTCCGGGCGCGTGCTTTATCCACCCCTCCCATTCCCCCGCGGCCTACACGCATTCCGTCACTGAAAGGAATTCCTTGTCGAGAATGAGAGAGCCCTTTTAAAGCCGTCGATATTGTTCGCAAGTGGACGCGGGGGGAGGGGGAGAGGCGAAAAAAGGGGCAGGCGGGCAGGGGGCCAGCAGGCCGCTTCCTAGCAGCCCTCTCGTCGCTCTGTCTCTGTCACGCTCACGGGGCGCCCCGGAAAGGTGCGAGAGAGACAGAGCGACGACGCTTCGGCATCGGCCTGGCCGGGCCTGGCCGCGAGAGGAGCCAAAAGTGGTTTGTCATCGACGGCGCGCGGCTGGTGGCGAGGGTCGTTTTCGACGCTGTCTCTCTCGCACCAATGCAGCGCGCCGCGCGAGTGCGAGAGAGACAGCGCGACGGAAGCGTCTCTGGGAATCCGAGCGCGGGGGGTTTCTCTTTCCCTTCCCGCCCCTTCCTGATATCGCCGCCTGACGAGTTTTTCACTCTCCGCTGCACAATGGTTCGCGCAGTGCGCCGGTAGGATCCCTTGCTGCACTGCCATTAGAAGTGCTGGCCGAGGTCGGCAGACCGACGAAGACCCTCCACGCCCGGGCCGGCGGTTCCACTGCGCAGGGCCGATATCCGTGCGGGGCCGCACGCGCATAATGAGTAGCTTTTTTATCCGGGCACGCTCTTGTGTGTGCATGTGGGCGTGAGGAGACACCGTGTGTGTGTGTGTGTGTGTGTGTGTGTGTGTGTGTGTAACGCGCCGTCCTCTTCTCCAGCGTTCCTCGTCCTGCATCGCGCCCCCGAGCGCCATGCCCGCGCTTCGCTCGCCTTCGCTGCCGGGCGCCTGCCTCTGCCTTCCGCACTGCAGCGGGCACTGCACGGCGAGCCCCTCTTGTCCCCCGACGCTTTAAAATTAAATTCCTCCCCCTACCCGCCTCTCACCGCCGCGCGCCCTCAGCCCCAGCCGGCCCCAGCCCTCGGTCCCGGGTGGAGAGCGGAGCAGCAGAGAGCAGAGGCCGGGCCGTGGTGCTCCAGGCTGCCGAATGCGGGCGGTCCGCTCGCTCTGTCTCTCTCGCACTCGCGGGGCGTCCCGTATGGGTGCGAGAGAGACAGAGCGACCGCTCGACGGAGATGCGTCGCAGTTACGCCCCTACGGCCGCGTCACAGCGCCGCCGCCGGCCCGGACATGACATCCTCGGGCGGGGCGGGGCGGGGCGGGGCGGGCGGCCCCAGGGAATTAGGCCTTTGTGGCGCGGCCGCCGACCACGCCCCGGTCGCCCCGCGGCCATGGCAATGGGTATTACCGACTAATGTGTTGCTCACTTTTAATCCCCCCTCCCCCACCCCGGCCGGGCCGGCAGGCTTAGCGCGTCCAGGGGATGAATAAGACATGACGGGCCTGTTCGCCGCGAGTTGGCCGAGTTCTCAGGCAGCGGCAGCTTGGCGGCAGTGTGGCGGCAGCGGCCCCCGCCGGGATCGATACCGTCGAGCGAACCGCTCCCATTTCTGAACGCTTTCCACGTTTACGAAATGAAAATCCATGGGGCTTCCTGCCGGGCGGCCTCCTTGATCAATGCAGGATGAATAATGCACGTGTTTGCTTGCCCGCGTCTCGCAGGTGCTGACCGGCGCGGCCACCTGCTTCTACGCCTTCATCGGCTTCGACATCATCGCCACCACCGGCGAGGAGGCCACCAACCCCAAGAAGTCCATCCCGCTCGCCATCGTCGGCTCCCTCGTCATCATCCTCGTCGCCTACGTCACCTCGTCCATGATCCTCACGCTCATCGGTAGGCCCAGCAGCAGCGGAAACGAGTTGAAACGTGAGGAAAACCCGGAAATGAAACAAACCCCTTCCTCTGCGCAGTTCCCTACGAGTTCGTGGACAAGGACTCGGCCCTGGTGGAGATGTTCGGCTACGTGGGCGCCAACAAGTGCAAGTACGTGGTGGCGGTGGGCGCACTGGCCGGCCTCACCGTCTCCATGTTCGGCTCCATGTTCCCCATGCCACGGATAGTGTACGCCATGGCGCAGGACGGCCTCATCTTCAAGTGAGTACAAACCCAAATGCAGCTCAGGCGTGACAGTCGAAGGCAAGAGTATGACAAACTGCGCGCCCCGCCGAGGGCACTCGCTCATTCGGCGCGGCAAACGACGGCCATCTTTCACCGCGCTGCGCTTTGCGTCCCCGCGCTCTTGTTTTTGTCCTTGCTTTTTTGCGGCGCGCGCGGAGCGCGGAGCCCCGTGTTCGCGGCGGCAGCGGGCAGCAGCGACCAGCAGCGACAGCTGGAGTGTCAGATTAATTGAGGGGGAGGGGGCGGGGCTGCAGCAGACTACTGTACAAACACGAGTTGTTGTCCGCGCGGCCGGTGCTGCCTGGATTAACGAACGCCACCGATTAGCTCGGGATTAACTCGGCGTGGCGGTCCGACCTATTCGGACCGGACCTGGACAGTTGGTGCCGCGGCCCGGTCCAGGGACAGCAGGGCGGGGTTGCCGTCGGTCCGTCTCTCTCGCACCCACACAGCACGCCCCGTGAGTGCGAGGGAGAGAGAGAGAGAGAAACATCCCTGAAAGCGCACCGGCAAAAGACAGAGCGGCGCGCGGTGGCCGGACCGGCCCCATTATTCATGGGTCGTCCTCTCTCTCCCCCCCCCCCCCGTCTCTCTCTCTCTCTCGCTGGCAGCGCGGAGTGCGGCATCGGTGGCATTCACGGGCCGCCCCCACCGGAAGCCGCACTGGCCGCCGCAGGCCGCGGCAGCTAGAAGGGCCGCTGCAGGGGTGGCTGCAGGGGTGGCTGCAGGGGTGGCTGCAGGGGTGGCTGCAGGGGTGGCTGCAGGGGTGGCTGCAGGGGTGGCTGCAGGGGTGGCTGCAGGGGTGGCTGCAGGGGTGGCTGCAGGGGTGGCTGCAGGGGTGGCTGCAGGGGTGGCTGCAGGGGTGGCTGCAGGGGTGGCTGCAGGGGTGGCTGCAGGGGTGGCTGCAGGGGTGGGTGGGGTGCCGGAAATCCAGTGCTGGACATTTCCATCATCACGCCGACTAATGGCGCCGCCGGATTGGCTGCACACTGGAAAACGGTCCTGGAGGCCTGAAGTGCTGGGAGTGCTCGAAGGGCTCCTGGAGGAGGGCCTGGAGGGCCTGCAGGCTGATGGGGGCTGGCTCCGCGTGTCCCCAGCGACTCCCGGCGCGGCACGCCTTGGCATTAGGAAGATGACTCGCTCTGCTTTCTTTCCCGCAGCGTGACAGAGACAAAGAGAGCCCTCAGCGGCTCTCTCTCTCCCTCCCCCCTCTCTCTCTCTTTACCCTCTTGAACTCGTTTCCTCTCAGAGTGGCTCTCGCTGCTCGGCGCGCAGCACGCAGCAGGTCTCTCTCTCTCTCTCTCTCTCTCTCTCTCTCGTTCTCTCCTTCTGTGTCCCTTGTAACGCCACAGGCGGGGTTCAGAAACCATAGCTGTCATACCCAGCGGCGCCTTGTGTGTATGACTCCGGGACGAAAGAGGGGGGGGGGGCTGCGGTTTCCCTACGTCAAATGCAACACACTGTCAGGCTGGCAGGGCGCAGGGCGCAGCCCTCATGCATTCAGAGAGGAGGACCTGTGTTATTATCGCCCACCCTTTGGCGCGACTTGTCTCCGCGTCGCCCAGCCACCACCCCTTTCCCTTCGGAGACCAGGGTCCGTTGGACCGTCCGTGCTGCACCGGACTCTGCCGGACTGTGCCGCATGCGGGCGGCAGAGGCAGCGGAGCCCCCGCCCTTTCATCAACAAAATACGACATAATCGCAATAAAACTTTTGGAGATTCAGCCGCTTTTTGACCAACTTTGTTAAGCTACTGCTCCCAAACTAGATGCGGTCAAAGCCTTCCCGAGGCGGCGCATGAAAGAGTAGGGTCTTGAGAATACTAGGGCGTTGAGGGAGGTCTTTGACCGCAGCTAGATTGGACGCAGGGGTCGCCTAAAGTCAGCAAAAACGGCGACTTTCCGCGATTCAATCACTTTTGAACAACTTTGTTAAGCTACTGCTCCCAAACTAGATGCGGTCAAAGCCTTCCCGAGGCGGGGCATGAAAGAGTAGAGTCTCACGAGTACTAGGGCGTTGAGGGAGGCCTTTGACCGCAGCTAGATGGGACGCAGCAGCCGCCTGAAGTCAGCAAAACCGAGTACTTCCGGAGGCCAGCGTGGTGACGGTGGGAACGATCGTATCGCCTTGGGTGGCCGGTCTTCGCTTTCGCTCCGCCCGTGCCGAGTGGCAAAGGGAGGGGGTGGCCGTTTAAAGGGATGTAGTCCCTAGCAGCGTAGCAACAGGCTCCGAGGAGGCGGATGGCCAGCTCACGGCGGCTTGCGGTCCGCGACGACGGTGGGGTGTCGGAGTCCCAGAGTCCTTCGGGGGCGGCGCCAGGCGCAAGGGCTCACGAGGCGCGGCCGTCAGGGTCCTCGAGGCCAAAAAGAAGGAGGGAGGGCGATTTGGGAAGGCAATCAGTGTAGGCACCGGCCTGGGACCGCGGCACGCCGCCGGGGACCAGGCACGCGGGCACGCCATTGGTGCGGGGGCGCCAGGCCAGCCCGCGGCAAGACAGGAGGGGGGGGGGGGTGCTTCCCTCGCAACTTCGCAGCTCCAGCTGGCTTTTCGCCGGTCCGTGTCGGCACATATTTCACTCTCATTTCCCGTGGAACAACAGGCGGGGTTCGGGAGGGGGGGGGGCATTGTTGCGGAGTGGCGGCGAGGCGAGCACGGCGGCGGCCTGACGACAGCGGCCGAATGAAAGAGCCTGGCAAATGGGGGCGCGACTCGAGGTGCAAAAGCACAGGCAGGGGGAGGGGGTGGACAGCGAAATGGGGAAATGGCTGAGACAGCCCCAAAACACTTGTTACAACAGCAGGCTGCCTCCGTCTCTCTCGCACTCACAGGGCTTCCCGCAAGCGCTGCCATTATGGCGGGGTGGTGGCGTGCTGACGCGCGGGCCAGCGCGGCGCCGCTCTGCATGTAGGCGGCCGCGCCGCCGCCGCTGACGAGTTTGCTGGCAGAGAAATTGGTGGGAAAATCAACTTGTCGAGTTGTGCCCCCTCCCCCTCCCTCCCGCTCGGCGCTGCTGCTGCTGCCCGCGGCGCGCGGCCAAAGTTGTAAACGGCGTCCGAGGAGCCCCTCTGGTGGACAGCCCTACACGCCAATCGGCCAATCGGCTGCCCGTCGATCACTTTGCCGCGGTCGGGGACTCTAACTGCCCGCCGGCCGGGCCGGGCCCCCGGAGCGCTCCGAGCCCTTGAAGCACGGCCCTATGCTTCTTCCCGCAGGACGGCTCGCAGGGGTACCAGTGTACCACCCACTCGGGACTCGGCCGCTAAGGGGCTCGTTGCCAACTACTGGCGGCCGCTTAAAACTTTCGGCCGGGGCTCTCGCCCTCGCACCGGCTGCAGCCCGGCCGGCAGGGCCCCTGATTGGAACCGCGGTGTTCCTTGCGGTGTCGCGGGGCGGCGCGGGGCGGCAACAGATAGGACGTCACAGCGGGGGCGGCGAGGGCCCCGACGACGGCCAGCCCCGGTTCGGCCCCCGCAGTAACTTTGGCGCGACAGTGCTGCCAACATCGAGTGGGCACGCGGCCACACCACAACGGCAGCCAACTGGTCAAAAACGAAAATGAAACTGAATAGGGGTGGGGGCTCCGATCCGACTCGCCCCGCCGCCGGAGAGTGTGAAACCGAAACCGACATCCGAATCCGAGCGGCCCGCGGTCGCGGCCACGCCACTGCTAACCTTGTCTCGTTTCTCTTCTCCGCCCGCAGGCAGCTCGCGCACGTGCTGCCGCAGACCGGCACGCCCGTCAGCGCCACCTTCAGCTCGGGGCTGGCGGCGGCCGTGGCGGCCCTCGTCATCCGCCTGGAGGTGCTCGTCGAGATGATGTCCATCGGTGAGTCCAAGGCCCTGAGGGCCAGGCGCCCAACCTCTCTGCACTGGTTGGCAGTGTCTCTGCGGACCGGGTTCGTGTACAGCAGCACGCCTACGCCGGACCCGGCAGCAGGTTGGCCGGGAGAACTGAGAACCAGACACTGCTCCCTTCCGCTCCGCGTCCGGCCGAGTCGGGGCAACCCGGCGCAACCCGCCGTGGTGTTTAGCTGTCCGCTGGCTGTCAAGCTCGCTGTCCGCCCTCCGCCCGCCCGGGTAGGGTAGCCTTCTCGACGGCCTGCTTGGCGTGCCGTGGCGTGCCGCGGAAACTCCGGTCGCCGCAGCTGCTGCAGCTGGTCCAGGGGAGGGGGCGACCAGATGCTACCCCAGCTCCAGTTCCGGGTCACGCAAGCGCCACCAGCGGCTGGCCCTGATGGCCCCGAGAGCCGACGAGGCGATCATCGGAAAAGTGTTGGTCGAAACAAAAACGGCGGAAGCGAACTTTTGCACTGATTCTCTCTCTTTTTTTTTCTCTGGCAGGCACGCTGCTCGCCTACACGCTGGTGTCCACCTGCGTGCTCATCCTGCGGTACCAGCCGCACACCACCAACCTGATCGACCTGCTGCCCGAGTCGCTGCGCACGCCCATGCGGGGCTCGCCCACCAAGGACACCGTCGCCAACGGCCAGGTGCGTCCAGAGCCCCCCGAGAGGTGGGGGACGGCTTGGGCACGGTTCGGGGCAGCCCCGCGGGCCTCGAGCCTCGGCGTTTGGGGTCAAGTGGTCGAGCCCTTCGGTGCCGGCACTTCGGGCGACGGAGTGAGCGCGCGAAGGGGTGAAAGCCCCCTTAAAGAAAACACGTCACCCGCTGACAGAGTGACCGCACTGACTGCGACGCTAGGCTGTTATGCCTTCAGGATGGACTGTGTAAAATGACTGACTGTCTCGAGCAGCCACTTACCCACCCACTCACACATCAAAAGCGTTGGAAGTTTGGCCGCCGCCCTGTGGACAAAGCGAAGCCCTCCCTGCAGGACGAAATCCTTTCCTTGTGGGCCGGGTCGGCCGGGCCCTGCCCTGCCCTGAGGGCCGCTGCCCTATCAGTGTGCAGGAAGGACCTCGGCAGCCGAGGGCCGGCCGAGGCCCCCGCCGGTAAAGCCGCCGGGGAGGCGCAAGTCCCTCGGCCGGCCTCCGCGTCGGCCTCCCCGGCCTATAATCTGAGAGTGACCTCACCTCCGCCCTTTCCTTGGACCGGCCCGAGCAAACAACCACCTTCCTCTCCTCGTCCTCCCCGGCCGGCGTCCTTTGCCGGGGCTACCTGGCCGCCTTTTAATGCGACAGTATCAGCGCCTCGCACAAGCGCGCGGGAAAGGGACATTTTTCATCCGAGATAATGAAGATGGCCGTCGGGGTCGGGCCACCTGGCCTGGCGGTAACGCCTACTAAGCCACTGATGATCATCTACTAAAACCACGAAACAGGAGACCTTTTTCTTCCTTTCCTTTTTTCCTCGCGTTCAAAATCCTTTGTGATCCTTCTTCCTCCGGGCAGCCCGGCTCAGCTGGGCGACGCGACGTCGTCGCACCCCTCGGACGCACCAGCTCACGACAGCCCCATCCTTTTCCGCGATCTGCCCAAAGTTCCGTCCGGTTGCACACAGCGGGGGTGGAAAGGGAGGGGGGCAGACCGGCGGCCTGCGACGCCCCGCCCCGCCCCGCCCCGCCCCGCCCCGCCCCGCCCCGCCGGGCCGTCGAGGACAGTGCAGAGTGGTGCTGGAGCTCGCCTGGACGGTCCTCGTCCTGGCCGCCAAATCGACACGCAACTGCCACCGGAGCGCTATCGAGTCGCGGGGATTTTGGCCGCCGCCGCGCGGTGGACGGTGTGGACGCGGACGTGGGGCGTCGCCGCTCCAAATGGCACTTGTGTCCACCGTGCGGGCCGGCGAGTGGAAGGGAAGGGGGCGCCCCTCGATGCCGAACCCTCACACAATAATACATCGGCCGACCGCCGTTTGTTTGGTGTGTTGACACTTGGCGGCGGCAGCGCGGCAGGGAGAAGCCGCAAGCCCGCAAGCCGCAGAGTGGTGGTCCAGCACAGCGATGCCTCTCTGTCTGTCTCTCTCGCACTCGCGGGGCGTTCCCTTGGGGTGCGAGAGAGACAGCCACTGTTCGGATTCGGCCTGCAGGCTGATGGGGCACTGCGAAAGGGGGGGGGGGGGATGGCATTGCCGTCACGGGGATGGATGGGGAGGGAGGGAGGGCGCGGTTGGTGATTCAGGCAAAAAGACGGCTCGTCATAAAAAATGAAATCAATGGTAGCGGTGATAAATATTTAGCACGCGCGGAAGGAAAACCTCACAGAATCAATAGACGGCCCCGCACAATTACTAACTGAAAGCAAAACAAAACCCGCTCGCTTTTCCGGAGGCGCGCGGCAAGCACGTAAGGCTGTGCGCAAGAAATGATTCCCCTTTCATTATTCGACGGCGGCAGCCCTGCGGCCCTGCGGCCCTGCACACTGGTGGCACACTGGTAGTACAGTGGAGCGGCGCGGGGGCGGCGCGGGGGCGGCGCGGGGGCGGCGCGGGGGCGGCACCAGGGCAATTCGCAAAGAGGAGGACGGGAAAACCGCCGCCGCCACAACGCCCGGGCGGAGCGCTCTTCTCGGCCCGGACGCGCGCCCTCGTTGCGGGATAAAAGTTTTCTTTCGTTTTTTTTTTATCTGCAAGAAATAGTTGCGGCTGTCACTTTAATTTCGCCCCGCTCTTCCCCGCCCCCGTTCGCCGCGCCGCCCCGCCCCGCGGTCGCCCCCCGCGGCGGGCCGCCGCCGAGAGGCGGGAGGCGGCGTCGGGGTGGAGGCGGAGCGAGGGACCAAAACAGAAACAGAACAAAAACTTAAACGGGGCGGCGCAGCGCAACACGGCGGCGGACCGGAAACGGAAGCTCATCACGGCGGAAGCGGCAATCTGGGTGCCTCGCCACGCCACTGCAACTTGGAAGGGCAGGGCGGCGGCGCGGCGGCGCGGGGCGGAGCTTGAGATAAGGCTTATCCCCGGGCTCAGCTGCGCGTACATCAAGAGCGTTTCCCCGCGGAACGCAGCGCAGCGCCACGACCCGCCGCACCAAGCCGGGGCGCGGGGGCGTGGGCGGGGGCGGGCGGAGGCGGGCGGGGGCGGGCGGGGGCAGGTGAACAAGGGTATGGGCCCCAGTCTCCACCCCCACACTCCGCATGCTGCTGCCGGCCCCCGAGCCCAGGGGAAAATAAGAGAGGAGGGGCCTGCCTGGAATTCCCAGGAATGTCCTGGAAATTCCCTGGAACGCGCCGGAATGCTCCGCGGCCCCGCCGTGACGCAGCCGGGCGCCGAGTGCATCGTCACTCCAGCCGGCCTGACAGTGGGGTGGATTCCAGGGCGACTTTTCTCCTCGTCGGCTCGTTTTCAAGTGGGCTTCCGCGCGCGCTTCGATTCCTCGAAGTGAGAGTGAGGCTCCAGGACGCCGCGACCGAGAGTGACTACGCCACTGGAGCGGCTGCGGAGTCGTGCGGAGTCCCAGGGGTGGCAAATTTCGTCCCCCACGAGGTCAGGTGGAATCGGAGACCGGCCAGGACGCCAGGACACGCGAAGGACGACGAGCCAGCCGACCTGCCGCCGGCTGATGCTCACGTTCGCGCGCTCGCGGCGAACAGCCGCCAGGAGGGGGGGGGGGGGGGGGGGGTTGCCAAGTTTAATGGGTCTACGTCCCGGCCGTCCCGGGGGCACGTGCTGCTCCAGGCCCCGCCAGGCCGCCCGATTCCTCGCAGTGTCGTGGCCCCGTCTCCCTCGCACTCACGGCGCGCCCGGCAGGGGGCGCGAGAGAGACGGAGCCACGACACACTGCGCGGAATCGGCGGGTAATCCAGCCGGCTTCAAACTCGCGCAGCCCCACTGAGGACGACTATGCAATTAATTTAACTTCGATGCGCGCCACTCGAAGCGCAGTGTGTACAGTGTAGGGCGCGCGCGCGGTGTCCCAGGCCCCCGATAAATCTGCGTTACTTCCAGCCAGCGCGCCTGGAAAGCGTCTGAAAACCGTTCGCGTGCCGCGGTGTGTGTGTGTGTGTGTGTGTGTGTGTGTGTGTGTGTGTGTGTGTGTGTGTGTGTGTGTGTGTGACCGTGCGAGTGGTGTGCTAGAAATGGCTCCCACGGGTTCAAGATGAGCGTTTCATAATTACCGTATCGACCGACAGGCGGCGCCACCCGCCTTATGCCCTGCCCGACCGGGCCCGGCCCGGCCTCCCCCGCGAACGCCACGCCACGCCACGCCACGCCACGCCACGCCACGCCACGCCACGCCACGCCACGCCACGCCACGCCACGCCACGCCACGCCACGCCACGCCACGCCACGCCACGCCACGCCACGCCACGCCACGCCGTCAGACCCTCCAACTTCCGTTCCGTATCGAAACTCAAGAAGCCATTATTACACGGACCGGTAACCAACAAGTTAAATCAAACTCCCTTCCGCGCGCCGACACACGCTCACACACACACGCACACACACATCGCAGTAAAACGGCGGGCCGCACTCCAAAGTTGCGTCGTCATAGTCGACCCGGGTTGCCCGCGGTGCGCCGCCAGGAGCGGATCCCCGTCGCGCCCTTTATTGACACGGCCCGGAAAACAATGACAGTTGGCTTTGCGGAGCACAATGAGGTTTTCAATTAACGCGCCGCCGGCCAAAATGATGTGCCCTCCTGATTCGCAGTCAGACAGTCAATCAGTCTGTTCGCGTGGAAAATGAAAACGACCATTCATTGGCTGCGCCCGCATTCGGCATGACAGCGATGAAATTCCAGCAGGCCGTCGGTTATTCTGTTAATTTCTCTATTGGTGTTTAACGCTCGTCAGGGTCAGTTTCCTGCAGTGCTTCGTCTCTCTCTCCGCGAATGACGGAAAATGGAAACAAAAGGCACTGCGGACTCTTGGTGTGCGAGAGAGCTGGAGTGGGAGGGGTCGCCGCGCGCTCACATGTGGATTGGACTTGGTGCTTGTGGCCTAGTTCGCCAACAAACCCAATCTCGGCAGTCCGCGATTGGAAAACGACGAGTGCCGAAGGACGAGGAGGGAAAAGGGAGGGGGGGGGGGCAGACGGCGTAGGTGCGGCGCGGGGGACTCGGAGGAGTCGGGGACAAACGCCCGGGCGCCGTCGTGATGGTCCTGGTCTACAGCTCACCGCGGCTGCATTCGTTCCACTCGTTTGCGCGAGCGCTAAGCCACGACGCGTGCGTGCCGTGCGTGCTGCGCGTGCCCCGAGAGCGGCCCGTGTGGGCTTAGTTGGATAAGTACCGCGCAAAGCCTCAGCCGACTGAGTTGCAAACTCCCGCCGACTTATTAAAGCAACAGTGGGATTCATCAGGCAGCGCGGGCCGGGACTACCCCACGCCCACGGCCTCGCGGGCTTCCCGCGCGCGGAGTATCTCCAGGCGGTTACTAACTCCCTTTCTCTCTGCTGCAGGTGTACTACGGCAACACTCTGCACCCCGACCAGCTGAAGGCGTCGCTTGGCGGCCCCACGGGCTCCATGGGCCCCATGGGCAGCGCGCAGCCCAGCGGCGCCCCCGGGCCCCCCGGCGGCTCCACTGCCAACCAGAGGGTCATGGTGCGGAGGGTCACCAGGAGGTACTCGTACGTGTCACCCCGTGTATAGTAGCGCGTACCACGCACAACTAGCCCTAGGCTGTAGTCCTACACTGTTACCAATCAATCTTTTCCACTCATTTCTCTCACTTCTGATCAAACCTCATGGTTTTGACCTCTGTACTACTTCTTTGCAATTCACTCTTACTCTCAATCACCAACTTGCCAGGCGTTTTTTCAAACAGTGTAGGCGAGCCCTTTCCGGCGTAGCCGTAGTGGCCCCAGTGGCCCTTCAGTCCCTTAGGGCACAAGTGGCGTAGCACGTAGCTGCATGCGCAGGGTGCACTCAGCCCCGCACAGCAAACAAAGGGGGCGCCCGGCCTGGCTGGCCCGGCCGCCCTGAACACAGACGAGGACAGAGAGAGAACGCGCGCCTTGTCCGTCTTGTTGCAGCTCCCCCGACAGCGACGACACCCTGCCGGGCGAGGACCAGGAGGAGGACTTCTCGGGGCGCGACGACCAGTTCCTGGTGTCGGACCGCAGCGAGAACAAGTTCTACGGCTCGGTGCACGGCGCCTCCAGCCACTCGGGCACGGGGCCCATGGCCGGGGTGCAGGCCGCGGTGGGGCCCAGCCTGGGCTACCTCAGCCGGCGCCTGCAGGTGGGGTGGCCGACGACTCCGTCGCACACTCGCACATCGGAAACAGAAAAGCAAAGCAACTGCTTCTCGGTTCCAGACGTTCACCTACTTGTGTCCCGCCATCTTCCCCTGGGTGGACAACGGCCCCGCCACGGAGGAGTCGGGCATGTTCGTGATGAAGATGGTGGGCGTGCTGTACGTGCTCATCTTCATCTTCGACCTGATCGTCGTGAGCGCCACCAACAGCGCATCCAGCGCCACCACCTTCTTCCTCGTCGTCTTCTTCCTCGCCATCCTGGTCGTCCTATTAATCATTTCGAGGAAGCCGCAGAATAGGTGGGGGTCGCTGCTGACCTTACTATATCCTAAAAGGAAACAAAACAAACAAAAACAGAATTAATTTTGTTTTCCGCGTTTGACAGAAAAACTTTACTCTTCATGACTCCCGGACTGCCGTTCGTGCCGGCGATCGCCGTGACCGTCAACATCTACCTCATCTTCAAGCTCTCCATCCTCACCCTCGTCCGGTTCACCGTCTGGATGACGCTCGGTAAGTCGGCGCAGTTCAGGAGGCCGCCAGGGCCGCGTAGAGTCGGACTCTAGGGCCCCAGGCAAGCGCCGCGAGGGTAGGCAAAAACCCCAGCGCAGCGCACGCGTGCGCCCGCGCGGCCTACCTCGCAGGCGCTCTGCCCGGCCCGCAGCCTGCATCCATCTAACCCTCTTCCCTGTGCAGGCTTCGCGATGTACTTCATGTACGGCATCAAGAACAGCTCGCTGGAGGAGCACACGGAGGGCGACGAGCCCAGCATAGAGCTGTCCACGGACCTGCGGGCGGCGGCCAGCTCCAGCACCAGCCCCGCCCCCGGGCCCGCGCCCAGGCCGGCGCCCAGGCCGCCGCCCCCGGGAGCGCCTGCCTCCAGCAGCTCCTCGACGAGCCGCGCGCCGCCGCCGCCAAGACCCGTGCCGAGCAGGCCGCCCGGACTCCAGGCCCAGGACTCGCAGTCCGCCCTCTTCATGCCCACCACGGCCTTCCCCACGTGGGACGACTAGGGCTGTCTCTGTGTTCCAGCGGCGCCGGGGGAGAGGGGAGGGGCGAGGGACGGTACCCGAGGTACCCCAAAAGCGAGCGAGTACCGGCTAGGGCCACTTTTCCTCTTCGTTTTTCTTGTTCTTTTGGTTTAAGTTCGTTTTTGGAGTCGACTTTTAACGTCGGCAGAAATGAATTGAAATGAGCTGTTTTGACTTGTATCGAGTCTACTCAGGTGTAACCCAACGTTTTTGTTAAAAAATCAAAACAAAACAAAAAACAACGACCTAAGGGTGTCTTATAGTTCTTCAAATGATGCAGCCTACACTCCTACCAGTTTTGGTTACCTATGCTATCCACCCCATACCTCAGCAGTGCACTTTTAATTGAGATCAAAATCAATCATCCCTGCTTCCATGAATAGCATGTTGAGTACTTTCTAGTACTCGCCCACTGTTACTGTTGTCCCATGACAGTTCAGTCTGAAAATAAGTCTGTAAACACTTGAACTGCCTTCAGTTGACGTTCTGTACTTTTGGAATTGTACTGATTGATGAGAACATATCACTAATTTTAATGTTGGACTCATTTGTGATGTAGTGATGAAAAATGAAACTATGGAAATGTAAAATCATTAGAAGAAAATTTTTTATTTTGTAAAATTGATTTTAGTTCTTCCAGACGTATATTTTGTTGACACTCTAGAATTCTAGAGATTTTGATGAGAGATGTTTCCTCTTTTTTATGAACTGTACTCTAATTTTAAGTTGACTTTTGTTTAGCCTGGCCCTGCAAAACTAAAGACAAGACAACTGCCCTGATTGTTCATCTCCCCCTGGTCACTGCGACTTATAGCTATTGTAAATAAACAAAAAATGTTTTAAATGTACAAAAGAATTAGTTATAAGTGTCAGAGTGTCATAGTCGCCCCATACAACCATCAAGTACAGGTTGCAGAGGGGCTTTTGTATTTTGTGATTTGTCAGCAGCAAATGTAATAAAAAATCAGAATTTATAAATGTTATCCTACCAAAAATTTTAATGTTATTGCTGTAAGCTAAGAGATATCAAATAACCATTGATGGTACACCGTACCCTATTGAAACGTGATAAATAAATGTTCATGAATACATGACAGCCATTTCTAAAGGGAGGTGTTGTACCTTGCTAGTCCTCTGAACAGTGTCTCCATCAGCACAAACTGCATTCAATGTTTGTGAATGGCATAAAGCATTTGTACCATATATGTAATGACTACAGTTCTCCAAAATAATCTTCAGAATCTCAGTATCATAGGTCTTTATTCCCTTAATCCTTTGTGACGTTGGTGGGTAGAGTTATTCAACTCAATTTATTTAAATTGAGACCATCAAGATCAATGAGCATTAATATTTTTCTATCAATCCAGATAACACACATGCAATTTCCAAGAATGCATGTGCAGAAAAGGCAACATTGAGTAATCACTTGAATAAAGAGGACAATATTCAAACAAAGGAAACATTTGTACATCTCCAGCAGAATATGCAAATGTGTACCTTTGAATCTAAAATTAAAGGATATCAAATAATCAAGTAATTCCAAATTGCTGAGAGACAAAGTGTTCTACATGGAGTGAATGTTTATATGTATGTATGTATGCATGCATGTATGAGTGAGTGTGTTTGATGTTGTTATTATTCTGTTTCTTACAATGTTCTTGACCTTGTGAGATTTCTTTAGAATGAAAATGGAAATGTATCTGGGCAAGAGAGGAAAAGCTGGTGATGAAACAAAATGCAATAATTGTCTTTACTTTAAATTAAAGATATACTTTATTTTGTGAAAATTGTTGCAGCCTCTTCTTAAAATATTATTATTGTACAAAAACATTTATTTTGAAGTTGCTTTGTGAATGGATTTGTAAGAAGTAATGAGTAACACATTATTGAGCACCGCTGATGGTGGTGCTGATTATTGTTCATTGCATTATCAGAGTAAATATCTGAAAGAATGAATTTTAAAGGTTCAATGGAGTTCATCTTAAGAAGTATGGCATTTCATTGTATCATTCCTTCTTAGTGTAAATAAGAATACAGAGACTAGATATAAAGTTCACCTGATTTTGTTTGTAAGGTCTTGTTTCATAAACAATCTTCATAAAATTTTATGGCCTATCTACCCCACAAAACATATATTCTGTTCTTCTTTCGTCTCCTAGCTATTTCATATGTGCTAAATGTAAGTTTAGAGAAATAATTAAGACTGTGGGCAATTGCGAAGAAAGATGAACATATGACTTGAAGGAAAAGAAGAAAAAATTAGACTACAAAGGAGATTCCTCTCTTTGAAAATGTACAGTGTAAGTCACACAATCAAAGATTGCCACGACAAGTCAAAAAGACACCTACCATTGACATAAAACAGGAGGGGTTTTGACTTTACAGCAATGTTTCGAAAGATTCAACACCAACACACATCTGTATCACAGTGCTTAAAGCAATTGCCAAATCTCTTCTTTGCATGTATGCTGTGAAAGCATGCATACCCTTCACCATACAATAATTTATATAGGAAGCGTTTAAGTACTAAGTTATGTAAGCTTTGAGTTGAGCTTGTTGAGATCTTGTACACTCTATCTATTCTTCCCTTAGATTCCCATTCTTCTCTGTTCTATTTCTAATTTACAATTGAACAGAAAGCAGAGTGGCTGTGGCCGAAAAAGGAAGCAAGGGGTGAGATTTACTTCATGAGGAAACATGTGATCCATTGATTTATGATACAAGGCAGCCTAGATAAATGTCTTCTATAAGTATTTTCTTTTTTGAGAAAAATCATTGACAAACGCGCACAGAAGGTTTCAAACCTCACCTTGAAATGGACTGCAGCTAGATACAAAACTGAGGAAGTTTAAAGTCACTAGGACCTCTTCTTCTCTCCCCTCCCCCCTTAAATACCTGATAAAATTAGTGCCACTCTGCTTTACTTTCAGGAAAAAAATCCATGTCTTTTAGACATATTAAAAAATTCTTCTTACTATACTCTTTAACCACCATCTAAAAGCTTTACTTGTTAAAATATTAACTTTGACGGAATGCATCAAATGTGATGACATTGGTGATCATTATTGTTAAACACCACTTACATTTTAGGAACATTAATTAATGTGTATTATATGTGTTGTAAATAAAAGTTACAAGCAAATATTTTTAAGTTTACTTGATTTTACATGATAAGATTGCAAATCTTATACATTGTTGACGTTTTGTTTATAGAACATTGTTGACAGACGAATGGCAAATTTTGTGAGATTTTGGAAGGATACTGGATACTGTTTTGAAAGCTTGATTATACAGATGTATTAATTTGAAACTTTCATGAGAATAAAAATGTTACATTGTACAATGAGTGTTGAGGTCTCTTCAAAACAGGTCAACAAAACTAAAATTGTAGAAGGGGCTGAGTCTCCATCTGCCATGATTTCCACAACTTCCCTAAGACTTACCATTAATTTCTGGGATAATAATTACTTTTTCTTTTCTGCAGCATAATGGCTGATGAAGCGAGCTGATGGGTCAGACACATTCACCCAACGGGGCATCCAGAAATAGGGTGTTAACGACGATTGTTTTGGGAATTTCTTTTCAAACATGACTCTGGAACAGCAAACAAAATTATTTTAAAGGATTCTATTTTTCCAATTAACTGTAAAAAGAAAACTTCTTGTTCCTATTTTAATACCTGTAGTATAAGGCTTCTCTCGTTTTGGGGGTGCAATTGGGAAACAGAGTTTTGGCATCTTCTAGTGCAACATCTATTTCCCTTTTAGCTACTATCTCCTGAATCACTTGGAATAAAGACTTGCGAATAGATGCAACACCATCACTGCAATATCACACACAACAGTTAAAAACATAAAATTTCCAGAACTTGCACCAACTTTTAATTTATAGACATCCATAATCAGGCTACCTGAAAGCTTCTTTGTGTCGCCACAAAATGTTATTAGGCAGCAAGCCGACACCATCAAATGCTGAACGCAACAGGTGTTTCTCCACACCATCCTTCGGCTGCAGCAATTCTGGAGGAAGGCTGAGCATGTAGTTGGTGAACTCAAGATCCAAAAAGGGAACTCGGAGTTCCAAACTGGAACAAAAACCAAATAAAATGTAGTAAACCTTTGAGAGAAAAAATTTCCTATCAAGATATTGCATGTTTCTCTTATATCATTATGGGTTGTGTAATTAAGACAACTTACCTCCAAGCAGCAGTAGTTCGGTCCGCACGCAGACCATCAAAGAGATAAATGTCTTTCAAAAGTCGAATGCTTTCTGCCCGAGCTTCAGCAGTTGATGGCGCATCTCTGAAATAAATATACCCTTGAGCTAACTCATCAGCTCCTTCACCACTTAAAATAACAGTTGTGTCAGTCTCTTGTTTGATAGCCTTCGCCACCAAATACATTCCTGATTAAAAATAGAAGTTCAATAAATGAATGTCTCCAAATTACGATCAGCCAATTTAAAACCACTTTCTACACCTACCAATAGATGCACGGACTGTGGTGATGTCATATGTTTCCAAAGTGCCAATGACTTCATCAAGTACATTTCCCACATCTTCTTCTGTGAATGTAATTTCGTGGTGCTCTGATCCAATATGCTTTGCAACTTGCCGCGCTGCTACTATGTCTGGACTATCACCCATACCAATTGAAAATGTCTAAAATCAGGCAAAAAATGTTAGCTCCATACACTTGTGTTTTCCTCACTCCAATTAATTAAAAAAAAAAACATGATAGAGTAATTTTACCTGAACAGGGTATGGCAGATTCATAGCTTTCGCTTCTTTGACTAACAAAGCAGCCACAAGACTCGAATCAAGTCCACCAGACAATAGGCAGCCTACTCTGCGGTCTGCCATTAGACGCTTGCGAACAGCAGATGTAAGAAGAGTTCGGATGTTTGCAAGAACATCATTTTTCAACTCTGAAACGTGAACAAGGAGATCTTAGTTAAAGAATGTTTAACAAAAATTGGGAGTCCAATTCACGGTATATTACAGAAAGGTAACTTACTGTTGTAGGGTACAAATGGCCTAAATTTGGGGCGCTCAAGACTTCCAATTTCATAGAAGCGTTCTTGTCTCAAAAGTTTAGCCCTTCCATCCTTATCAATGGAATATTCTTCAAACACCCCAGGAGGGAAAGGTTCCAATGTGAATTTTGAACCATTTAGCTCTTTGGTAATTCCTATAAGACCTAAAAGAAAATAATAAGAAAATTAATGGATAGATAAATGATTTAAGTTGGACACAGTACAATTTTGTGAACTGGTTCATTATAAGCATACCTTTTGCTTCTGAACACACTCCTAAGACACCAGTTTCACTGTAGAGTCGGAACATAGGTCGAACACCAAAGGGATCTCTAGCCAAGTAAACTTTTTGGTTGCCTGAATCAACTAAGCAAAATGCAAACTCAGCATCAAGATTGGTGGTTGCCATTTCAATTCCACCTTTCCCAAAAAGGTGAAGAATGGGTTCAACATCACATCTAGTTTCTGTAGGAAACCCAAAATCTTTAACTAACTGCAAAAATGAAAGGAAAAAGGTGAAATGTAAAACTAAACAGAAGTATATACACGTAAATACAAACATGAAAGTTTTCATATGCACCTCATGGCAGTTATAAATTTCTCCATTGCACATCAAGGTGAGGTCGGGCAAGCAATGCAACTTCATGGGTTGCATACCATGCACACTGTCAACGATCTTGAGTCGGTGGAAGCCCAAACAGGAGTGCTGAAAGCATCACAAATAAATTAAAACTAGCTACACAAATTGACTAAAAATTCAAAATATAGCAATTTACTTACGGCCATTCGACAGTCAGCCTCCACCCTCCAGGCATCAGGACCTCTGTGTGAAATTTTGGAGAAGACGGCATTGCTGTGAACTGCCACATCAGTTTCAATGCCAAACAAGGCCCAAATCCCACACATTTTCACCTGCAGACAAAAGAAAAGTAAAAAAGTGTTTAAGGTTTTATTGGTTAAGGTGGCAGTACAAGTGACGCGTTTCCTCGTTCGACAATAAAAGCACTTTTAAAAATAGGAAGCACAGGGTCCTGGTCCTCACTCCTCACGGGTCCTGAACAAACGCATCTTTTTCTATTTTTACACACTCGCGGGGGTGGACCTCGTCTCCAACATCTGTGACCATGAATGCGGCATCATTCTGAATGAAACAGACGGTGATTTTGCCGGGGACTTACACAGGATCGTTGGTCCTCCGAGTGTCACAAACGAAATCCTTCGAAAGGGCCGAAAATCAAGGAGCGACACCGGAGTGTGGCGCGTCGGTCCTGGTTCCACCCCAACCACCGCGACACTGCGGGACGGCCGCCGGCGGCTGATGCAACGCGGCAAGTGGCGGCGGCGGATCGAAACCTAAGCCTCGCGCCTCGCTGTCCGTCCCGTCCACGTACTCAGTGTATTTTATTTTCTTTTTTTAACGATCTGCTTGTCGTGTCATTTCGGCACGACTGAACGCTGAGCGAGGCTGAGAGCCTTCCGACGTGGAGGGCACTTTGAAAGTTTGCGCTGCGCTGCTGCAGCTGATGCGAAATGAATGGCACGGCGTTTGCAAGTCGGTGCATGATTCGCTGCAGTTCTGAACCGCCGGCCGCGGCCGACCAATCACAGTGGCCGGAGCGGAGCCTGGATGGCGCTGGAGTTGTATGAGAAGCATGCCCATTCATAAATTCATATTTAGTGCCCAGTCAAGTTTTAAACAGTTTTAACCGTAGTAAAATGGCCAGTGGGACTGTACGGCGTCTGCGCCTCAAAACGGTTCTCATTGACCTGAGTGGAACGTTACACATAGAAGAAACTGCCATTCCAGGGGCACAAGATGCCTTGCGTAGGTGAGCAGCAGCTGTGCTGTAGATGTAAACAGACACCATCAGGCAGACGACATACAGTTTGTTTCGGTCTCATTCATCCTGGGAATTAACCCGATATATGTAGCGGTTTGGTGTTACTTAGATTCCCTCTGATCAAGGGGATAAAGTGTTTGGATTACTGTTAGATGTCCTTTCCAAAACAGAAAGTTACTCCCTGCTAGAGGTCCTGTGTTAAGGTTATGTGTATCGATAGTTTAAAGTTACAATGTTGCTAGTCTGTCCATTTTATTGCTTTCAGGTTACAAGATGCGAATCTCCAAATTAAGTTTGTGACTAATACCACTAAAGAATCCAAAAGACGTCTCTTCAATCGTCTCGCCGGTCTTGGTTTCCCAGTGAAACAAGACGACTTCTTCACCTCACTCTCCGCCGCTCACGACTTTGTTAAAAAGTCTCAGCTGAAGCCTATGCTTATCATTGACGATGCAGCAATGGAAGATTTTGAAGATGTCAGACCTGCAGAGGGTGCTGAACTTGACTCTGTTGTCATAGGCCTTGCTCCAGAACTTTTCAACTACGAAAAGCTCACTGAAGCCTTCAGGTACGCAACAACTTTTATATTTCATGTCAATCATTTTCTGTTTTTTTTTTTTTTTTGTTTTCTTTTTGTATAATTACATAATTAACTGAAAGATGTAGCACCTTGTTATCTTATCAGTCTGTGGTCAGTTTGAGTTTTTTAAAAAGTCGTTACTTTAAGAAAAAAATATATCAACGTCGCTTATCTTAGTTAATTCCAACTGAAGTGTCGTTGCCAGGCGGTGAAACAAGGGACGTCCCCCTTCCCTTCCTTCTCCCCACCCGTCTTCACAGGTGCAGACTGTAACACCTACTTTGCATTGCACTCGGAGTGGCAAAGGAAAGTGCAGAGTCAAAAACAACTACTGATTAGGAGTTTGAATCAAGGGCAAGTTCTCAAATCTCTCTCCGCTTCCTTCAAGTTCGGACAGAGGGCCCTCGCGATTAACGCCGACTTGCCCGATTCCGTGGGATATCAAGTCTGGGGCCGGGGGACAGCACACTGACTCCGAACAGAGCTTTCTTGGCTGTGTCTCTCTCGCACTCGAGGCGCTGCCTGCCCGCCGGGGTGCGGGAGAGAGCGCCCAGGCATTGTTCGGAGAATCAAGCTTGCCTTTCTTTGCATGTGTACCCCGGGCCTGTCGCGGTCGCTGCCGCCACACTGTAGCCAGCCCGTCACCGTCACTCGGCGAACCAATATTGAATCTAGGCGGAGTGCGGAGTGGCCGGGCTGGCCCGCGTGGCAGCTTGACAGCTTGTCTCTGACTGCCCGACCGGCGCGGCGACCGGCCCGGCCGCGGCACAGCGAACACCACGACAGCGCTGTCCGTGGAATAGATTATTTTTGCTTTTTTTTGTTTTGTTTGTTTTGTGTCTGGGTAAGGCTGCTACCCGTGCTTCAGTATGTACGCGCGTCACTATCACAGTGCCACACTGCCTCGGATGTAAATTGGGTTGCCCGCCTTGCCGGCGGGGCGGGGCGGGGCGGGGACTTCCCTAGAGCCGCGGCGGCCCCGCTTCGCCACGCCCTGTGATGGCATCTGTTCTCGTTCCGCAGGGTGCTGCTGAACCCCGGCGCCAAGCTCGTCGCCATCCACCAGGCCCGGTACTTCGCGCGCAAGGACGGCATGTGCCTGGGGCCCGGCGCCTTCGTCAAGGGCCTGGAGTACTCCGCCGGCGTGCAGGCCCACACCGTCGGCAAGCCCTCGGCCGCCTTCTACCGCGCCGCGCTGGACGGCGTCGACCCGGAGGCCGCCGTCATGATCGGAGACGTAAGTGCTCGCTCTGTCTCTCTCGCGCCCTCTCTAGGTGCGAGAAAGACGACCGCGAGTCCTCACTCTGCCTTCCCTCCCCTGCAGGACGTCCAGGACGACGTGGCCGGCGCGCAGGCCCTGGGCATGCGGGGCATCCTGGTGCGCACCGGCAAGTACCGGCCGGGCGACGAGCTCAAGATAGACCCGCCGCCCGCCAACGTGTGCGACGGCTTCCCTCAGGCCGTCGACGCCATCCTCCAGGAACTGCAGGAACTGCCCGTCAGCTGAATCTCGCCGCCACCAGTATTTGATGAGAATAAATGTATGATGTGTCCCTCGAGACTGAAAGCACGAGCGAGCAGTGGTCCTTTTCGACAGAGATGAACCGTCGCTACTCCGTGCGAGAGAGAGCCACTGGCGCACGGGGTAGTGCTGGAGCAGCGCGTGTCGCCGGCGCGCCGGGCCGCCGTGGCGGTTGGGTGGCCTGCCTCCACGGCGCCCGCCGACCGGGAGGCTGTCTCGGCATCTCGCCGTTGGGATGAACGCGACGCGGGACTCCGCCGCCCGCATCGCGCATCGCAGCGCGGCGCGCGAACGCGCTCTTCCCACAGTGCACTCCACGGCGCGGCGGGGTGCGGCGGTCGCGTGCGACCCCCGTGCCGCTGCCGCCGCGGCCGAGGGGTGGTCCCCGCATCCTCCTCACCTCACTCGACCCCGCGACGGCGGTCTCACCCCTTCGCTTTACTTTTCCGCCGGTCGGGCGCGCGGGGGGAGGGGAGGAGTCGAGTGCGTTTCCGGACGGGGACGGGGTGGCCGCCGACCGCGCCGCCGACGCGGCCGCGAAGCACCTGTACGTCGTGTTTGCTTGTCTTCCTGTGCGAGCGCGATGTCCAGCCGGCTGCTGCCGAGCCGTGCTCTGTCTCTCTCGCACTTACGAGGCCACGCCTGGGGGTGTGAGAGAGACGGCGCGCCGCAAGCCCGTCCGGAATGAGACTGGAAGGGACGGTATGGGGTAAGGAACGGGTTGCCTTATCAGCGTGGGGACACCTGCACGCCGCCAGCCCCGCCAGCGCGCCGACTGCGAGGGCAGCGTGGACAGCGTCTGTCTCTGTCGCGCACTGCTGGCGGGGCGGCCCGCAAAGGGTGCGAGAGAGACAGAGAAGCCGCCCGGAACCTCGCCATCGATCACGGCGGCCCGCACTGATATGCGCCCGGCTGAATGGGCAAGTCGGCATGCATGAATGCACGACGCGTGGATGAATTCAATGCAGGCAATGAATGCAGCAGCGGCGGCGTTACAAACGACGTGGACATACGGCCGGGAAGTGGTTCAGTTACGCGGCGGCGCGCGGCGCGTTCGGGTTTCCTCTCTTTCCTCATTTCCCATTCGCCAGGTCTTGGTCGCGGCCCGCACTCCGCACGTGGAAAAGTCAAGTTGCCGCCCCGCTGCCCCGCCCCTCCGGCGGCGTGTGGCGACGTGCAGTTGGCAACTCTACTTTCACGCGCGCCGGCCGCGGGACGCCCCCACTGCCGCCCCCGGGATGTGATGCCCGCTGCCCGCTTCGTTTGTATGCGAAGCCGAAGCCGACGACTTTTCTCACGGCTCAAAGTACGCGTCGCGCTCGCACTCCGATTGAGGGTTGTTGGCTTGGCTCGCGGAAAAAGTCCGTTGCCACCCGCATGCCGGGGTGCGTCTCGGCCGCCGCCGCCCGCATCGCCGCATCGCCGCGCACCCCGAGGAGTGCACCGCCGTCGCTCCGTCTCTCTCGCACCCCTGCGGCACGCCCCACGAGTGCGAGAGAGACGGAGCGACCCGCAATCAGCGCGCGATCGCGGACTCGCGGACCGTGCCCACGCCCCGCGGCGCCGCCTGCATTATTCGCCGCGGATCGCTACCGGTATTGCCGCCTGGGAAAATGGAGGGGGAGGGGGAGTTGCGAGATTTTGGCGCGGAATACACACTCGGCACCAGACTGTTGCGAAAGGCATGCAAAGCTGGGCCGCACACAAACCCCACCGTAGGAAATGCTTCGACAAACGCAGTGCTGCAACCTGAGAAAAATTTAGTTGGGAGTCCACTGTGCTGGCGAGTTGGGCGTCGTCTGCTTTATTCATACGTACTCCACTCTCAAACTCGAAATTCGTTATCCAAAACTAATCTATGTTTTTGTTGTGACGTGTAAAGTCCTGCCGCGCTAGGTGTGCACTGCCATATCTCGCGACGGCTGCAATGCGACACCTGGTTCGAAAATGCGCAGTTTCTGTCGCGATTCGTCGCGTGTTATCGCCGCGGGCCCCGTCTGCAGTGTCTGCAGTGGCGGTAGCCCACTCGGCGGCCAGGGCGTGCACCTTGAGAGGGAAGGGAGCGTGGACGCCCCTCTGCCCCCCCCCCCCCCCCCTTCCCGCGGCCCCCAGCACGCCCCCAGCCCCCTGGCCCGTGACCGCGCCTCGCCACGCCGAGCCACGCCGAGCACGCCAATGTCAAGCAAAGGACGCGCCGGGCCGCCGCCGCCACTGCCGCCTGCCGCCACAACACAACGGCCCGGTGCGCACCGCGCCGCACCGCACGGCGGCGAGCAAAAAGCGCGTACTTGCGGCGAGGCGATGATGACGGCGCCCAGGTACGCCAAGTTACGGCAGTCCACAGTCCAGGCAGTGCCGCCACCACTTACTTTCCTTGGCGCGCGAAGCCTTCCAGAGTTCCAGTGGTACTTATCCCGTGGCGCGGCGTTCTTTCTGGCAGTGTAGCCGCGCGCGCTTCGCCTTGTCTCCCGGGCGCTGCCGGGATTGTTAATTTCGGGTGTTAGAAGAAGGCAAGGCTCTCGGGCCGGAATGGGTCCCTGGCGGTGTAAACCCCCTGCTGGAGAGCCCCTACCCCCTACCCGGTAGTACTGGTACCCCCGGTGCCCCTGCCCTGCCCCTGCCCGTCGAACCGGTCCGGACGGCCTGTCTCGAGCCCCTTCCCTCACCAATCGGGGCGGGGAGGGGGAGGGGGCTAGAATCGGTGGAAACGAGAATCAAAGTGCTGGAGGCGCCCTGCCCTTCACCGCGACGCCCTTCCGAGGCACCTCGGCGACACTGCCTCGCCGCGCCACTCGCGCGACTGTACACTGGAGTACTCGAGTCGTGGCGATGCAGACCTCGGCTCGGTTATCCTTCCCGCCGCGTTCCCCTCGGCCTTATCGCCGTCCTGCTTCCTGTCGCAGGACACCGTCCGGACACCGTCGGGACACCGTAGGGCACTTGTTGAGCCGTGCGTCTCTCTCGCTCGCAGCGCCGCGTCGCTGCTGGTTGCGCGTCTCGCGTTTCTGTCTGACAGCGCCACGCCAGGCCGTGTTCAGTTGTTAAGCCCCCCGGGATTAAAATCACAACCGCCTTCCGGGAAGCGAAGGGCAGATTCCTCCCCGAAATCATGGCCCGGCCCACGGCGATGTGAACACACGTTATGGTGGTGATCACAGGCGGCGCGTGAAGCTCGAGGGGAGGGAGGGGGAGGACCCCATGCAGGTCGAGCCGGGGCAAAGCCGGGGGAGGGGGAAGGGGGTCCGCGCAGTAATTTTCGATGCGAGGAGTTATAATCGGTGCTTCCTCTCTTCGGACAGGTGCATAAAGATACGCACTCATGAATGTTTATCGTTTGTAAATGGTAATAAAGCGGCCGGGTCTGTCTGTGACTGCCCCGGCGACGCGCAGTGCAGTGGCGACGCATGGAGGTCAGTACGGCACACACTTCCTGCCGGTCCGAGCCACCTGACCCAAATGTTGGGGCGAGGGTTGCGATCCTAACGCCCTGAACACCTGCAAGGCCCTCAACAGGCAGGGGCTGGGCAGGGCAGGGCTGGGTCGCCGGGAAGCTCCGGTTCGGAAACGAGCTTCGTGTCTGCGAACGCGGCGCCGTCCGAACCCTCCCGAACGAGGCTGAGTTGTGCTCTGTCTCTCTCGCGGTCTGTGGAACGTTCCGTGAGAGCGAGAGAGACGAAAGCAAACCTGCAGTCGACGGAGTGTCTCTCTGCCTAATGACTGTGGGCTCCGAGAAGCCGGCGAAGCGAACAGCGAAGCGGGGTCCAAGTGGCAATACCCCTCGCCGGGGCTGGGCGGCGGCCGTAGCGGCCCGGGTCGGGGTCACGTCACTGTCTGCACTCTCGACTCGACCGCGATTTGCGTTTCCGAAGCGTTCCGTTTTGCATGAAAAACGGCCCGGCCTGCAGCCGGTATTGAACCCGCGCCCACCGGTGAAATAAGAATGAGGCAGATGCCTATCTGACGGTGTGGTGGTCGATTCCGAGAACAGCCCGACGGCCGTTTCCCACCCTTATCATGTCGCGTTTGGCTCTACGAGACGCCGTGGCGCGCCGCCTGTCTCTCTCGCACTCGCGGGGCGTCCCGCAGAGGCGCGAGGGAGACGGAGTGCCCGGCTTCATTCAAGCGCGATGCTACGCGATGCCACGCGATGCGGTGCCAACGACACTTCCTGAAGGTCTCATCACCAAAACAAATGCGGTGTCCCGGAGACGTATCGCGGCGCTCGGAGGGACGGAGAGGAGGCGCATAATGCAATGCGCGCGGCAAGGACGGCCGACGGTAACGGAGTCACCCCGCGCGCCCCGCGCCGCGCCAAGTTTGATTTCATTCGCCCGGACAGCAGTGCTCGCAGCGAGGGAGACAGGGCGACCGGCGTGACGCCGCGTGACGCAAGGTGCGGAAGAAGTAAGAGTGTTTGGTTCGGGTCAAGAGGTGGCGCCGATCGCAGAGATCGCGGACCCGGGCCTGGCCCGCCTGCCGAGCGACGCGAGCGACTCAGAAGATCGCTTTGTCTCTCTCGCACTCTGCCCAGACAAGGTGGCGAAACGCCTCGTGGTCCGCACGCTGCACGTGGCCGACGTGGCCGACGTGCACGTGCAGGAGGCCGTCCCCGAGGCCGTCCCCTGCCCCCCAAACGATTCACATGTGTCCCTCGGGCGGGCGCACGGCCTCGCCACGAAAAAACGACTTGCCCTTTACATAACGCCACACTAATTCATTCGAGTGGTGTGTATGACTTGTGCGTGTGCGTGTTTTTGATATCTTCCAGTGAATTTTGATGTCGAACCCACCGACGACGTGGTGGCCGGCGTGCCTTATGACAGACACGGCGTTACCTCATACATTTTCATCATCACACTTCATGCACCTCTCCGGTCCTCGGCGTCAATCCTATTCGTCGTTTTTTTTGTGTTTTGTTTTTTTCGTTTTTCAATCCCGTGCGTCTGCTGCGCCTCCCTTCTGCCCTATCAATTGCCACCATTGTTATGTTTTTATTCCCTGTTCCGTCTTCGTCACCGTCCGCAGCGCAGCATCGACACGTTGTTATGGCT